TTCTTATTCTAATAATTCTAAGAATATTATTTTCTTTATCAGTATGAAATACTTGTGTATGCTGATTCATATATTGAGAAAAGAATTGATCATGGCATACCTGAACATGATCAAAATTAATGTTTCATACTCAGTATTTCATACTGATAAAGAAAATAATATTCTTAGAATTATTAGAATAAGAAAAAGAGAAATTTAAATATCATTTCTCAAAAGTAGTCGATTTTTACATGGACTCATATCATCAAAGTATTTTGATTTTGCTTTTTACATAAAGCAAGAAAATTTTTTTTAAAATACGTTTTCTTATACAGTTTGACGAGCTCTATCCAACCATATATAAAACATTGAAAAAAAAGTTATGCTCAAATTTTGCATTTCCCGCACCTTACAATAAAATATTTTGTTTTTAGTTTTTTAATTTTTCAATTTTTAATTCCTCTTATACAAATTTCACTTTTTTGTCTTTGTATTGGTCGTAAGTTTGATTTTATTTTTCATCTATTTTTTTAAAGATTTTTTCTTTTAAATAATTAATTTTCAGGTGATCCTCAACACATTCCAATGGCACTTTATAATAGTGAAGCAATAAATGGATTTCCAACAGGAAATTTAAGTTTACAACTTTTAAGTAAAATAAATCCAGAACAAATTCATTTTGTAAGAAAATTAAGAATTCTTTTTTTTGATTTATTTAATTTAACTATTTAAAGACGCAATTTAATGAATTGAGTCAAGCTATTGCTGCTGTTAAACAAGGTGATTATTGGGGTGTGGCTGCTATTAGACGTAATTTTTCCGAAGGAATAAAAAACAAGTGAGGATTTTATTTTCAAATTTATTTTTATATTTCATTGTTTTTTGTTTTTATTTATTAAAGATTAATTTCATTAAAAACAGACTCGGCAACATTAAACGCATCATCGATTCATCTTTATCTTGATATGACGAGTAAGTTAAATCATAGAAATAGAATTTCTTGTTTTTTTCGAAATTATATTTACATGATTCGACAAATCTAAAAAAACAAAGTTTCGATAGTCTTCATAATCAATATAAGCAAAACTAGAAAGAAAAAATAATATTTTATTTTTTACATTTGGATCATTCCAGAAAAAAGTTAATATTATCTGCCGCGTGCATAATTTTCTGGATAAATGAATGAGACCATTTTATGTTTTTATCATGAAAAAGAAAACTAAGTGAAATGTAATGACATTATAATAGAATGATAATCTTAGATCGCATTGTGTTATTTTCTTAATTTATGATTTTATGAAATAGTCTTAATATATTTCTATGTATAATCTTCCTTTCTGAATGTTCATAATAAGATTGCTACACTATGATTGAGTCGAATTATGAAAAAAGTTATCGTAATATTCACTAGAAATGATCTATTCAATGTTAAATAAATAAATATTCTTCGAGATGATTTACATATGTATATATATTGAACATTTTTCAAATTAATTATCATTTATGTCAAAAGACGAAATTGATACAAATAGAAATGTTAGATGAATTTAGTAAACAATTGTTGAAATTTGTATTTAATTTGATATTGTTTTTTCATTTTTCATAAAGATCAACAAGTGTCTTTTGTTATGCAAAATGTCGTATTAAATAGCACTCAATTATTTTTAAAAGATGTTTTATCAAGTCATAAAGTTGATCCATCATTAGCTGATCCACCAGTTATAATAGAAAATCCAATATATGGAGGAAAAGTTCAAAGATTTTTAAATTTTGCTGCACCAGGAATGATGATATCAATAATATTTTTTTTGGCAATTGGTTTAACAGCATTAATATTTGTTGTTGAAAAAAAAGAAGGTTTATTAGAACGTAGTTGGATTGCTGGTGTAACAACAGTTGAAGTTATGCTTGCACATATTATTGTCAAATTTTTTATACAATTTATTCAAATTATTTTAATGGTTGTTTTTGCTGATGTTATTTTTCAAGTTTGTTTTCTTTTTTTTTTAATTTTATTTTTCGTTCATAAATTTGTTTTATATTTAAAGGTAACAATTCAAGGACCTGTTTTATTAGCAATGGCATTAATTTTTATTCAAGGTATTTGTGGAATGAGTTATGGTAAGAGAAAAAAAAAAAAACTAAATTAGATATTATTTATCTTTGTTATTATTATTTTCTTTTTTTAAAGGTTTATTTATATCTGCTATATGTGAACAAGAAGTTGAAGTTATGGAAGTAGCACTTGGAAGTGTTTTTCCCATATTACTTACTTCAGGTTAATTACTTTCGAAATATATTTTATTTATTCTCTAATTATAATTATTTGTTTAGGTGTTATATGGCCATTAGAAGGAATGCCACCAGTTATGCTTTTTCTTAGCAATTTTACTCCATTGACACATGTTGTTGATGCAATGCGATGTATTGTTTCTCGAGGTATGATAAGGTTTTTTTATTTCCTATTTAAATATATATGTTAAACTTTTTTTTTCCGATTTAATTTAGCATGGACATTAGTTTACTTTAAAGTATGGTTTGGATTTGTCATTTCTGCTGCATGGAGTTGTGGTTTTTTTACATTAGCTGCTATACTCTTTGCTCTTCGGAAATAGATTCATTCTAGTCTTGTACGTTTATTTCTTTTCTCTCTCTCTCTCTCTTTCATTGTATTGTCGAATTGAATTGAAATGAAGATTGGGCTTTTACCATTAAATTTTTCAAATTAGAAAGTATTTATAATAAATAAATAAATAAATAATAAACCTGAACAAAATCTTGTCTAAAATGATAATTGTATTTGTAAAAGGCGAAGTCTAAAAGATGTCAAGAAATATCTATGATTTTGGCTTGTTTTAATCTAATAAATGAATTTAATAGAAAACGAATTATATATTTCTATATCATAATATGCATGAAGTAAACCGATTATCCATAAATGAGTACCATTGTTCTCTGAATTGATTCAAGATTCATTACTAATTTAATCATCTTATATATATTCATAACTGATTTGTCGAAAATTCTTTCCAACTAGAGATATTCAAGATGTTGTTCTATACGTGATGATTTCCAGGTTTAGAAGGCAGTTATTTGACAGATATTTTTTAAATGAATGATAATGAAGTTTTATTAAATTCATTTTGATAATTAAATTTTGTAAAGAAACATTATTGAAACATTGAAGAAAAAAATACAAATATGTGAAAATTCTCTGTCAAATAAGCTTAAAAAAATGATTAATTCGATAAATGAAATCATATATAAAAAGAATAATGTATTTATGTTTGATTGAAAATATATTTAACGAAGAAAGTAATTATTAATCATTATTTTCAAAATAAAAACAATATTTTACTAGAAAAAATTTAATTTTTTTGATTCTGTTTAGAATAAATAAAATAAGGATACTATCGGTTCGAATAATATAATAAATATGATAAATAATGCCATCTGTTGATATTTATTCATATTGGTTTAAACATTGATCAGCAGATGATGAGAAATGAGTTATGATAATACAAATACAAACAGATTAAAAGATTATCTTATTTGAAAATGAATGAAAATAAAACAGAAATGATTGATATTAAAATAAAAGTAAATAATATTAATCATTCAAATGAGAGAAGGTAAAATATATTTAAAATAAATATTTTATTAAAATAAATAAATTTTTTTATTTAGAACAACTTCTCGTATATGGACAATTCGTTCATATTTATTTTTATTATGTTTGACAGTTTTATCACAATCAATGATATCATCTGGTTATATTGGTTCAATTGTTTCATCATTAGAACGTTATTATGGTTTTTCTACTTCACGTTTAGGTGTTGCGTTTAGTAGTTATGATATAATGGGAGTTTTATCAATACCATTAATATCATATTTTGGTTCACAAAATAATCGACCACGAATAGTTGCTTTTGGTGCTTTATTATTTGGAATTGGAAATATTTTATTTATTTTACCTTATTTTATAAATGGTTATGAAAAAGAAACAACAACAAATTTATCAAATCAAACAAATGATCATTTATGTCAATCAAATTCATCCAGTCAAAGAATTTATTCTCATGATCTTTGTTCACCATTATCTACAGCTAAAATTTTATCTCATTTAACACCAAATTTACTTGATAAACACATATCAAATACATATGTAACACCAAAACCAGTTTGGACTTATTATATACTTATATTAGCAATGATAATAATGTCAATTGGTGCAAGTCCATTTTATACATTAGGAGTTACATTTTTAACTGATCATCTTAATAAAGATGATCAAGCTATTTGTACAAGTGAGTTTAAAGTTTGTTTTTTTTCAAACAAAAAACTAACAATTCTCTTCTTGATTAATTTATTTAAAAGCAAAAAAAACGACAAAACTTTTTTCTCTTTAATTAGGTCAAAAACAAAAAAAAAAAAAAAGAATTGAGGTAAAATAATAGAATAATTCAAATAATAAAACAGCACATAATTAATAGCTGCTTTTAACTCTGCTTTAACATATTTGGGTATTATTTTTTGTTTTCTTCTTCTTTTAAAGTTCGTCTTTATGATAGATATGTTCATGTGGTTCATTTGAATGATGATGAACAGGTGGACGAAGACGAATAACTTCATAATCTTTATTTAATTTTGTATTTGTATCAATAGATTGTGCACAACGAAAAGATAAATTTTCTGCTGTATAATCAGGACGAAAACCTTTTCTTGCACTTGTTCTCACTTGAATATGATCTGTTTTCGTATCACCATCACGTGTATCAGTAAATGAACCACCTTTTACTGTATATCGTTGAGTAATATCACTCTCATTATCATAATCTCGATATCTGACAAAAATTAAGAAAAAAAAAAATGAAAATAAAATAAAATAAAAATAATACTTTGTTAAAGTCCATTCCCAAGTATTTCCTAACATATCATAAATTTGATATTTATTTTGTGGAGGAAAAGCATCAACAGGTGATAAACGATAAAATCCATCTCGTAATTGATTTTCATATGGGAATATTCCTTGCCATAGATTAGTTCGTTTTAATTGCCATAAATCTCCCCATGGATAAGCAGTTGAATCAAGTCCACCACGTGCTGCATATTCCCATTCAATTTCTGTTGGAAGTCTCATTCCTTTCCAATAACAATATGCTTGAGCATCATTCCATGATATATGAGTTACAGGATATGATAAACGACTAGATATATCAATTAATTCACCTTCAGGACGATTCCAACGAATATTTTTAACAGCAATAAAACCTTCATCCTATTTTTTTTTTTTAAATAAATTAATTTTAATTTAACATATAGAAAATAAAAAAATAAAACAAACTTCAAAATTAACATTAACAATAGATTTATTTTCTGGATTTCCTAAAATAAAACTAAATCCATTAATTTCTGCTTGAGTACGATAACGAGTTTTGTCTTGAGTATAACGACGAAAAGCAGCAATAGTTACTGGATACTGAAATATTCTTTATTAAACAACAAAATAAAACATTCAACAATATTTGATAAAGAAAAGAAAAAGAAATTTTTACCTAAATGGTTTAACATGTGCTTGTTTGATCGGAAATTCCATATTAATTCCGTGTCGATCATTAACTCCCATTCGAAAACTTCCTCCTTGAAGTTCAACGAATGATTCTAAATGACGAAGTTTATCCACTAAATCATCAATATGTTGACATTGAATGAGCATTGGAAGAAAAAAAATAAAGATCCACATGATTAATATGTTTCTTTTTTTTTCTATTTGAACTAACGTTTTGTTTCAAAATATGAAGGCAAATGAAAAAAAAAAAAAAAGAAATGAATAATAAGTGAATAAATAAAGAGTGGCATCAGCTGTTGTTTTAGGTATTCTATATGGAATGGTTGCATTAGGACCTGCCCTTGGCTTTTTAATGGGTTCTGCACTTCTTTCTCAATGGATAAATATTGGTCGTAATGAAATTCCAAATGGCATAACAACAAATGATCCTCGTTGGATTGGTCGTTGGTGGGCTGGATTTCTTGTATCAGCATGTTCATTAACAATTTTGTCATTTTTTCTTTGTACATTTCCTGCTAAATTATCACGAGATATTAATCAAACAGCCGAATCAGTAGATGTAACACAATCAACAAATTCAGTATGTGCTCTTGGTCAAGCTGCAACAAGACGTCATACTTTACCCAAATTAACAAATCCAACACAATGTAAATCTTTATGTCAAATATCAAAAATAAAAGGTTTATCTTCATCTATCTTAGATAAATAAATATATTTTATTATTATTTATAGATATTTTTACAAGTATAACTGATCTTTTAATGAATTTCACATATCTTTTAATTGTTTTGATTAATTCAGTAGAAAGTGTAAGTTGTCGAACAGTTCACATCAATAAATTTCAATAATTTCTATTTAAATTTAGATACTTGTTGTATCATTTACAACATTTATGGTAAAATATATCGAATCTGTATTTAATTTATCTTCATCATTATCAAGTACATTAACTGGTTCAATCGTTGTTCCAGCAGCTGTATTTGGTACATTCACAGGTGGATATTTAGTTCGTCGTTTTCATATGGGCATTCTTCAATGTGTAAAAATGATTTTAATTGTTTGTTTAATATCATGGTTTGGTTTATTTGCACTTTTATTTCTAAAATGTCAATCAACAACTATATATCAAGGTGATACAGAATGTTCTAAATCGTGTCATTGTTCGCCCTATGTATATGAACCAATTTGTTATCAAGAACAAGTTACTTATCTTTCACCATGTCATGCTGGTTGTACATTTATTAATGGAACAGTAAGATATATTTATTTATTTATTTATTTATTTATTTATTTATTCTTAAAGGATTATTCAAATTGTAAATGTTTATCAAAAGGAGAAAATGTTCGTTTAGGTTCGTGTCAAAATACATGTTTTACTGAAACATTTTTATTTTTATCGATATTATTTGTTGTGACATTTTTTCAAACATTAATGGCAACACCACAATTAATGATAATATTACGTTCAGTTCAACATGAACTTCAATCATTTGGTTTAGGTTTAGAAAATTGTATCATGAAAATTCTTGCTCAAATTCCTGCACCAATCTTATTTGGAATTATTATTGATAATCAATGCTTATTTTGGTCTCAAGCAACATGCGATCGTCGTGGATCATGTTTTATATATAATGGAGATCGACTTCCATTTACATTGTTTGGTACAGCAATTATTATTAAAGGAATTTCATTTTTTCTTTTAATTATTTTACTTATTGTGACGATAAGACGACATAAACTACCAAATAATCCTTCTTCTTCTTCTCCTCATTCTGATCCTGATCATCCTCTTCCTCCTTCTGCAACATTGCAATCTCAAGAACAAGAAGACCCTTTAATTATTTCAACTTCATAGTCAATTAAATATTTTCGATTGGTGAATCTCATTATTTTATCCTTTTAGAATTTTTTGTTTTTTTTTTTTTTTTTTTTTTCTTTTTGGTAATTATTTGAATTACATCTGATAAAGCCTTAAAATTATTTAAATAAATGTCTGTATAATATATTGATCTAATAAAAATAATTATTTATAAAATATTTGCAAGAATATTCGTTAATATAATGTGATTAACCTTTGTTAGATATTCTCCTAATAAGAAAGTGTCAATATAATGAATACAAAAAGAGAAATATGTCGTAGTATAAATAGAGAGAAAAAGAGTTATTAATTATGAGAAAATCATTTTCGACAATCAAACCATTTGTACTCTTGTTGTTGTTATTGGTCTTGTTCTTCATTTTCTTCTTCGTCGTCTGGTTATTCTGCAAACATACGATCGCAATGGAAAAGTAAGGTGCTGAAGAAAAAAAGAGAAACGAGAATATTGACGTCAGAAAAAAAGGAAAAAGAAGACGGGTGGTGCGGTGTTTTCATGCGATTATGGAAAAAGAATGTCGAGTTTTCTTCTTTCTTTTCTCGGCTGCTTCTTTTCAGTTGTTGACGGAATTTTTGTTGGTCGATGACGTTCTACAGAAAATAAGAAATCCTACTTGTAGAAGAGAGAACACATTTTATGACAAGAATTGAAGATGGGTAAGTCACATCTTTATCAGATATTTCTTTTTTTTTTTTCATTTCTTTTTTATCTATAGATGATTATCTTATCTAAGTTTTGTGTTCAATGACTGAAAGACGTGATTCAACACTTGATCGAAATTCAACAGCATATGATTATGATAATTATATATTATCAATGGTCGAAGATGGACAATCAACAGAAAATTCATCAGCTACTGATGATAACGTTAAAACAGATTATCGTTTATCATTACCATCATCTTCACAAATTCATACATATCGTTTAAATTTAAATTCAACAATAAGTGAAAGTAGAAAAAAATTTTTATCACGTATCATAACAATCGTTGCCATTTTTCTTCTTGTTGTTTGTATTTTACTTGTTACATTAACACTTCGTCTTGCACATAAAATTGATGAACTTGTTCGTCTTAAACAACTTATGCCAAAACCAAATACATTTTTACTTATATCAACAACAACAACGACAACAACAGCAGCTACAACAACAAATAATTCTATTCATAGACGACGAACACTATCTTCGTTTTTTACTTCCATCATTAATTAACAATTAGTTTCAAAAAAAAAAAAAAAAAAAAAAAAAAAAAATAATAATAATAATAATAAAAGAAACAATTTTATCGTCCTTGTTTTCTCCTGACATCTTTCTCGTCGTATTTGACTTGCCAGTTCTGTATTCTAATCAAGTTCTTTCTTTTTTTTTCCTGATGATGTTTTGATTGCCAGTAAAAGTTAATTCAGTTTTTTTTCGTTCTTATCATATAGTATATCGACATTACTTCAGGTGATTATTACTCACTTTTTTTTCTAAATATGTCCATTAGATATACAAAAGCTTCGAATAGTTTACAGCTCAATTCGAGTTCAACACCAACCACAAATAATATGGCAAAACCATCTCAAACTGACATAGAACAAATGATTCAGCGAGCACGAGTAAGAATAACAAATTGAATACTTTTATAAAAGAAATCTTTCAATTTCAAAGCCTACAAATCGGGATTTGGTTCGCCGAGATATTAATCAAGTAATTAATTCATCATCAACTTTAATGTTGAAAATTGCTCCATACTACTATACTAGTGGAATATCAAAAGATTTACTTTGTTTATATGGAACTGTACCATGTCAATATAGAGGAAATCGATATAATATTCCTATTGAAATTTGGTTTCAACAAGATCATCCAATTGTTCCACCATTAGCTTATGTTAAACCAACATCAGATATGTTTGTTTCAACAGCAAGTAGAGATGTTCAATCTGATGGAACTATTATTATACCATATCTTAGAAATTGGCGTCATGTTAAATATTTATTTATTTTATTTATTTTCAATCTAATTTTATTTTATTTTATTTTATTTTATTTCAGCCACATAGTGATTTATATACTTTATTAAATGCAATGTCTGAAGCATTTAGTCAATCACCTCCAGTATATTCAAATGTGAATATAACTAGTCGTTCAACACCATATCCAACAAGTGCATCATCAATGCCAACACCAATTGGAATGCCAATGACTAATAGTGGAAATTCATCATATTCATATCCATATGGATATCCACAAACACAAATTCCTCAAGATATTTATCGAGATTCTGTTCAAACAGCTGTTTTAGATAAAGTTCGAATTCATTTAGATGAAACAATGCAAATAGGAAAAGCAGAAATAGATTCACTTAAAAAAACTGAACAAGATTTATTTGATGGAGAAAAAAGAATTCAATCATACATTAATGATGCACAACAACAATTTATTATATTATCTTGCTGATGGACTTAAAAGAAAATCTATTGGATTAGATACTTATTTAAAAGTTTGCCTTTTTTTTTTCTTCTTTGTTTATTAAAAATATTTTCATATATTTATTCTTTTTTTTTTTTTTTAGCATGTTAGAGAACTTTCTCGAAAACAATTTATTTTAAGAGCTACTATGCGCAAATGTCGACAAATTGCTGGCTTACCTTTGAAATAAATACTTTTTCTTTTTGTTAAATAAAAAAAAAAAAAAAAATGATTTTATTTTTGAATACGTTTATTCATTTTGAGAGGAAAATAGAATAGGAATTCAACATGAGAAAAACAAAATAATTATCTTCTACAATCGGATATAAAGAAATGATAAAAATATTCGCTGATATTTATTCATTAATGTGAAAAAAGTATATAGATGTTTTGTATCTAATGAGCAGTAAGAAGAACGGAAAAAAAGTAATTTTAATTTACAAGCATTACCAATGTGTGAAGCGACGCGTACGAAATATATATTAGGTGATTATTATCGACATCAGTGCAAAATAATGTCAATCACCAATAGTAATATGAAAATTGAAACCTTGGCTTGGGTAACTGATGATGAAGCTGAATTTTGGACGGTAAATATTGAATAAAAAAGAAAGTCTTTTTTGTTTATCATTGATGATATTATTTATTTAGAGTACATCACCTAGAGAAAAAACTCATCAATCTCATAATTCCTTAACATCAAAAGATTTATCTTCAAATATTTTTTCATCTAATGGTCTTTACTTTAAAACAAATAATCAATTAGATACTGAAATGGAAGATCATTTGTCATTATTATCTAAACAAGCAATTGAAAAACAAAAGAAAGAAGAAAAAAATAAAGTCGAAGAAAAACACATATTTGACATATTTCAACTAAATAATAACATTCATCTCAAGAAAAATAATTCCGAAGAAAAGATGGGTTTTTTTAGTCGATTATATCATCAATTAACAAGATCATCACCTTCAGAAACCGATTATTTAGATGATGATGTTTTCATAGATATCGATGAAAATGAAATAACTGCCGTCGTCAATAATAATACAGATATGAATACATCATTCAATGTTGAAAGTAAATTTATAGATAATATTCCATTTGTGAATAATTTTAAATCATTTATTGATGAATTAACTGAAGAAAAAGATGTTATTATGGGAAATATTGATGAAGAAATATTATTTAATCGAAGAAGTCAAAAAGCAAAATCTTCACTTGTACCAATCAAAACCAATGAAACATTTTATATACAAACATCTTTTTGACATTTTTTATAGGAAAAAAAGAAATGTTTTTTCCTTATTGAGTGTTCAAAAGATGCTGATTTTGATTATCTACATATTTATATTCATACAACTTTTCATTTTATTTCCTTCTATCGAGGTCAACAGGTTATATATAAGATCTTTCAACAGCAGATTAAATCATACAAATAATCTTTGTCTCTCACAAATTTTACACTAAACCATACAATATAATTCTTGAAAGAGCTTATCGTTCCATGAAATTTTCTATAATCTTATAGTGATATAACACAAAGTAATAAGATCTTTCGAGAATCTTAAAATACCGTCTAGCGTAAGACTTCTGAAACTTTGATATTTTGTGCATTTTCATCTGATATCAAAATATCAGAAGTACGATCTTCTAAGATTTTACCGTCTGATGTTTGGTTTCAAATGACACAATTGTTTACAGTTTAGTTTTTTTTTCGCACAAAAATCGATGTTTCTATGTATTTGAGTATATTATTGAGTGGAATTTCACTCGTTTGACATTATCAAAAATTCCGTTGTAAGATCTAAAGATCGTTTAAGTTTGATTGATAAAAAGATTCAATGATTGTGTATTGATTCGTGAAATGTTGTCTTATGATTTGCATAAAATTGATTTCGATAAATGAAAGTAAAGTTGTCATAATTCGAGCAGATATATATTTAATGGACTCATTTATTTATAATCGGAACAACTGACAAGAAATAGTTTCTGAAACGACAAACTGAAAAAGATTAGGAAACTGTCGTTGTCAGCAATGATCATTATTAAGTTACTTTATATATATAGAATGTATCTACTATAAATATTACACAAGTGTTTACATACGAAAGAAAAGAAGGAAGCGAAACAATCATTGGATAATATTAATTAAAAGAGATCGAGAAAGAATGTAGAAAACAAGAAAAAAAAAGAGAGATTCTCGTTTTCATTGCATAAAAAAACCTAAACATTGTTACATCATAAAAAAGAAACATTTATAGAGTGTGAGTGTGGAAAGGAGTATTTGGCTTATTCGCATTTCACAACCCAGAGCCATAGCTATACCTTCGACAGCCGCAAAGAAGATAATCATAGTCAATGAAAACGATTTTGTGTTCTAAAAAACACAAGAGTATTTTCTTTCAATGTTATTTCGCTTTTTGACAAAGAAGAAGATTGGAAAGACAAGTGATCAAGAAAAGTATTTTTACGGATGTGGATTTATGAATTTGATTTGTTGTCGAAATAAATTTTCATTTATATCACCACAAAAATTTTCTTTTGACATCAGAAAGTCTTGTAATAGTTGCTCCAGAAGTAAACATTTCTTCTTAAGTTTAAAATTCTATTCGTGTTCTTTTTCTTCAATTGGTTTTTCGTTTATCACAAATGATTGTTCTTTTTGTTCAACCAATGTCTGTGAATCTTGTATGATTGTGTTCAAACATTTCGGTTTTACATGCATGATATCAATCTAGAACAAATGAAAGGATTGAAGTTTTTTTTAAATTTAATTAGAAAAAATTCTATCTATGATGTCTAAGGTACAAAAAAAATTGTTTCATAGATTCAAATAGACATTGGAATTCTTATATCTATTGCTTAACCGTGAATACAAAAGTATATTATAACTTATATTTTATGAAGAGAGATGAATATGTTTCAGATTTTATCGTACGCTCTTATCCTCATGCAGTGTTGTCAAATCAAGCAAAAACTAGAACAGTACATATTTCTCTTGAGAAAATAAAAATAAAAATATACGTATGTGTTCACAGTAGAACATGAACTATATAGGAATACTCAACTGTTAACTATTGGATAGAGGAAATATGAATATATCTATCTGCAATAAAGACTTAATGGATATATATGAGTAAATTGCAAGTTGCAACTTTTAGGTACGTTTTACGTGAAAAAGTAAAAGTATACCTAAACAAATGAGCGTTATTCCCAATTCACTTATAAGCCCCTATCCAATGGAAATAAGGATGAATGTGTATCGTTTGTTGCTAAGAGCGGTTATACTTCTTTGATTTTTTTTCAATACATATTCATTTCTTTTTCCTTCTAATGTTCCATAACATATCAAAGAACAAACCAATTAATGAGAGCTAATTAGCACACCACATACATACACTGTTATCTTGTAATCTCATTTAGCTTACTTAATAAAACGATATGTGACAATAAAAAGAAAAATATCTTATATTCTCGTCATTTTTTTTTATAATAATACTTCATCATCTATATTCTAACATGACATCTCAAGCAGCTTGTTCTTATATTTCAATCGTCGATTATAAAAGACCATTGAATATCGATGTGGGCTCAATCATTGAATACTTCTCTTATGTTCTTGCCAGTGATGGACGTCTAGATCGTGGAGCTCTTCGTAATGGAAATCTGCTTTTTAAAGATCACTTTGTACATAATATAGCTATATCTCGTCACTATATTGAACTAACGATTACAGCCAAATGTCGTGCTCAAATGAAAAAGAACATAAACTATGAGGTAAT